ATTAGTCTTATGTTAATGTTTGGCTGGTGACTCATTAATAGACAGTTTTGCTACATTACAGCTAAAGTTTAAGCTACTTAACCAATGATCTACACAGCTATGACGACATGAAGCAGGACTCAGGGCCGCCGCTCTTTCAGCGTCACAGAGACAGTCTCCCTTTAAATGTGTTACGGTGAATTTGCTAAATTCATACTGACTGCGGTTTACATTACAACCAGGAAGAAGTTATACCTCCAACTTCCTGATTGCTCTTCCTACTGAGGAATGGAAGCACGAGGAACAGGAAGACCTAATAACACATCTGAATATATACTTAGTATTTTCTTAAGATTATTCTGTTTAAAGCACATGAATGAAATGATCATAATTTTAGTTTTAATGTTTTGTCAATTTCGCAAAAACAGCAGATGATCTTAAAGTTTGTGTTCAGACTTGAGAGATTTAAGTCTCCAAGTTAATATTTAAATGTAATCGCGTTAATTTTTTATTTGAAGTGACGGGATGTTTCTTAAGACGATGTTTTAGGCCTAAAAGCAGTTTAGAAAAACAGTTTCTATTCATTTTATCTGAAGGGAGACAGGCTGCAGTACATACATCTGGCCACTAGTTGGCAGTGTAGCAGCCTGAAGTCATTAATCCTCCAATATGAAGATCATAGTCATGGATTAAAACTATGATATGTGTTTTAATCCATAGCAGGGGTTGTTTTCATTTTTTCATCTCCGCCTGTTGTGTTAAAAAAAATTGTTTGTAAATAAAAAGCAAAGATGTTGCCTAACACTTATTTATCCTTACAGTTTTTTTTTCTGTATTAAGACACAGAGCATTTTTGGCCTAAAATCATCAGCAATAGAAATATGCCGTTAAATCTGCTCAGATATCAGCAGAGAAGCTTCTGGAATCTGGACTCAGAGGCTTGTTGATAGAATCTGTCATTAAAACCTAAAGAGGGCGATTGAACAACGCTTCATTCCCAGTCAGAACCATTTAGCATCCCTTCCTCTTTTGTTTGGATCTGTGTTCTTTTTTTTTCCCCTTCCAGACTCTCCACTGGATCATAACGTCCAGCCCAGTTCAGCACCGACCGGATCAGATTCTTTGTTTTGAAATCCAAATGGTTCCTCAGACGGATCATTTAATGGGATTTATTAACCCCTAAAAAACATACAAACTGAGATTTGGCCCTTTACATTTCATCAGTCTGACATCATGTGACCTTTGAGATGATTGGCAGGTGCTGGAGGCAGTTCAACTTTAGATCTGATTTCAGACGTCAAATAAATATTTGGCTGAATTCGAATTCATGGGATGCGTCCGAAGGCCGATTACATCATAGCGTGGCGCCGAGGTCTGGTCGCATTCGCAGACTCCGCGTTATGCGACCTATAAATGCGTCCTTCTTTTTACCCTTTTTGAAGGACGGGTCCGACGTATCCTACGTAGCCTTAGCTATCCCATGATTCATTGCGAGTCCAAGCAAGCCGGCTGCTCATGCTCAGAGGAAAAAGGGAAATGTCGCCAAACAGTGGTGAATATTGGAAGTTCAGTTTAAAATAATCCAAGTATTTTAATAGTTCCGACTGAAGTTAATGCTAATAGTTGTTTTAA